CACCACGAACGACTCTGTCCTCCACGAGACACATCGATGGGGAGCTAGTGATCACTCAAAAGCCGTTCGCTCACGTAACCGTACCACCACTCGCGCGTCGTGCCGTGCGTTCCAAGACATGACGAGTCAAGTCCGGGACAAAATCCTCAGCTTCGCCATCGTCGTCGTTGTCGTTCTCGTGAAACCAGCACTAACAGAAGACACCGACCGCAACACCCCACACAACCGCACGCGAACCACGAACCTCCCCAACCCTCGAACCACGCAAGAACCACGTTCAAACTGCCGCGTTCCTCTTCCCGGACGTATTGTCTCTCGCCTTTCAACTCCTCAGCCCCCCAAAGGAAGAAGAAGCCGTGATCGATCGCACCACGCATCGCATGAACAAACGGCGCCACTCGGCAGCACTCCACCCCACCCCCTCGGCCTCGAACACTCTCTCCCTTGCAGCAAGAAGAGCAGCCCTTCAACAGCTCAGCTGTGGTCCCGTCGTGGCATCTCGATCTGCTCAAAGGTATTGTTCCGCAACAGGATGGTAACGAGGGCCCCCCGTAACGGCAACGCCAAATCTCGAACTTCTGCATCTTTGCCCAAACTAATCCACCATCATGCTCCGCCCGCGCCAGTGCTGCTTGCTCCCCGCCTCAAAAGCGGTCTAGCCGTCGTCTAACCACCACCGGTGTCATCCGAAGAGGGCCGCAGGTGAGAAAAGACAAAGGTGACAGCGCAAAAAAAGGATCGCGGGGAACGCATCCGAGCCAACAACTACCGACGACGGGGTCCCTGACAACTCCACTAGGCCCAGGTGGCATTGCAGACCGACCGTCTAACGGATGATTCCTCTCTCTCAACTCTCTCACCTTTGTCTCCATTTTGATATTGAAGATTTAGTGGCTCCGGCTCTTGTTATTGATGGGGAATCATTCTGCAAGACCAGTTGGACAGGCATTTCGAGGTGACAGCCGAACAAACGCCCCAGCATGATGCATCTGTTCGAAAACGGCTCAGCCCCCCCGGCTCTTCTGACCACTTTGACCCAATTAACGTCTGCTGTACTTGTATGCACTTTGAAGCCACGATTCTCCAACAATGGCTCCCTCCCCGTCGAGTCGGTCCAGGCCAGGCTTCGCTTCACTCACCGCCCATCTGGCACGTTCCCGTGTGCAGCGTGCATTGTCATATCGAAGATTCCACCGCCGCCGCGGCATTCAGTGGCCAAATCATTTGCACACACACGTAGAATCTGTCAATCCGATGGTCGCCCGCCCATTGTTCGCATTGAAACCCAACATGGGCCATGCAACGAACAACAACGAAGCCCACAACGGCCGCAACCTTGCGCGAGAGAAAAAAAAAAACATTCCATGATCGACAGACCACTGCAGAATCCTAATCCCCCCATGGCCCTGCCTTGCCTTGCCTGCCTTCCACCTCAAAACGCGGTCAAACTCTATCACAAAACCTGCAAGCCTTGGCCGGAGCTGTCAAACTGGACACTCTGAGAGGGAGAGTTCCTGCTCGCCCGTCCGGGGAAGAGCCGGTCATGTAGAACTATCCCGGGATCTCCAGGGTTCACGTCCTGGAGTCAAAGACTCGAGAGAACCAAGGAACATTGTAGCGCGGAAAAACGTACTTTGCAGCTTTACACCTTGGAACCCATCTCGACTAGGCAGCCTATCAAGAAACTCCTCCCCTCCGTCAAGAACCACAGCTCCAACTCCCGGCCCCGCCTCGCCGCCGCCCAACTCTCCTAGGTTCCCTCTGCCCCAACCCACCCAGCCAAAGAAAAGAGAAGAAGTCCGTCTCTTCCCGCCGTGGACACCGCTCCGGGTCCGCGGCGACCACCCAGAAACAAGGCTGGTGGCCTGGCCCCCCATCCCAAGTCCCATCCATCCTAGCATCCCGTACTAACACTTCTTCTTCCCTTCACTCGTCCACTCACAGCCCGGCGATCGTGGGTAAGGACTCTCGGGCGAAACCCCTCACTCCGTGTGTGTGTGAGCCAGAGTGAGTGAGTGAGTAGAGTGGTGTCTGCCTCCCTTTGGACCAAGCCCATCAAAAACCACTCCGTCATAATCATCGCAGGCCCGCGTGGCAGGCTAGCTATTCCTGGCGTCATCTTGTCTAAGCCAAGGCCCATCTCCGTCTAGTCACCTCACTCACTACAACAAATCAGCAGTCTTTTACTCTGTATCACTATTGCCCTTTTGGTCTGGTCTCACAAGTGAAGTAGAGAAAATGAAAATGCAACAAGAGACAATATGTCATCTCATCCGACTCCTCTCATCAGCCCATACCGAAACACGCACTTTGGTCATCACAAAACATGCATTTCACATAGCTTTAGCAGGTCATTCACTCACTCACTTCACAAGCGCATTAACCAAACAACTCACACGCATCCACCATATCCATCCACTTCGAACAACCTCTATCCTCCAGAGATATGCAGTAGCAGCCAACCACCAATTATCCCATCCATCTAGTCCATTAAACCCCACCCTAAAGAACCAAACCAAACCAAACCTCCTTGCCCGAAAACGCATACTTGCATGCATGCTAACGCCCGGGTGGGCAACCACCACCACTCACTCACTCACCTTCGTGACAACCTAACCTGACCTCCGTACATACACTTCACCTGCATACTCCCTAACCAGCCGTTGCCTGCCTCTCTCTGGTCCGTGTCGCCAACTTACACGACTAGCCAACTAATAGTAACCAACTCCTCGGCAAAGGAAAAACGCAGCCTCCCACCCAAAACCATCCCCGACCACACACATCCCATCACGTCCCTCCATCAGATCTCCCTCGTCGTCGTGCCCGCATGCGAACATTGAATAGAAAGAATGGCATACAAGGTGACAGCCGGTGCCAAAACATCAGCCCTTCACGTCCACCCGAACTTAACCTTTTCCACCCCTTTTCGTAATAGTATTACCCTCCTCGTCCAATAGGGTATCATTCCACCCTCAAAACTCTAGTCCGGATTCAACCTTTTTTTTCCTGTTCCCTACCCTTCATCCCACCCTGCTGCCATCGATGACTTCCCTCAATAAATTGAAGCAAATATTAAAACACTGAAATTCAAAGCACTAAACCAAAAGAAGTCCCCCTCCACGAGACACATCCTTCTAAACCCTCCATCTGCCGTGGCAAAGACCACTCCTCGCACCCAGCTTCAGGCTAGAAAACAAATAAGAGGTTCAATAATCATCACCAAAACTGCCCAAAACAGCCTAAATCCCGCCCTCCCCTGGCCGCAGCAAAACAGGGCGAACGATGATGACCGTTTAGCCCCCGCCATCCAATCACCGCCCTTCGATGGAACCTTCGACAGCCCTGCCTTTTTTCTTCTTTCTTTTTCGTTTCCTGAGTGAGTGAGTGAGTGACAATCCGAGGATGGAGGGAGGGAGGAATGAACGGCCCCCAATGCAAGTAAGATACAGCCATACAGACAGACAGAGGCAGAGAGACAGAGAAAGAAGCCGTCACGTCACAACCCGCCCGTCCATCCTGCCGTGTCCGCATTCACATCACACATCACACATCACACATCTCACTGCAGTAGCTGCTGCTGCTGCTGCTGCTGCTGCTGCTGCTGCTGCTTACATCCCTCCATCATCCAACATGAGTCCTCCATCTCTTCCCTCCCACGACCAAAATATACGGTCCGATGAGAAAGCAAGAAGCAAGGAAGATGCACACCCGCCGCCGTCTCCCACCCCTCGCAAAAAACCAAAAGAGGTAACAACGGGCGCGAAAAGAGGCTTTCCATCGATTCAAGAACGAGTTCAAGGTTCCTTACTTACTGCATATGCGTACATTTCAGCCCGCAACATGTAAAAAAAAACGTGGGGGATGCCAGCCAGCCAGGTAAAATGTAGGGAACAACCCATCTATGTTCAGAGTTATCAGAGCGAAAAATAAACCCACCGGCCGCCCCATCCCCGTTAGAAAAGAAGAATCCGCGACGTTCTGGAAAACCTGGAAGAAAGAAACGAATAAACCCGCAGGGGAATACCCGTAACTGTAAAGAAAGTCAATGTTCCCCCGACGCCACTGGGAAATCTAGAGCTGGCCGCCCCGAAGTATGCCGATATCACCACTCTCTCGACGTAAGAGATTCATCGTCTAGTGCTCTCTCAAAGTAGCACCCCGGGTCACAACATTTATGAGTGTTCGGATTCAGTGTGGGGAGAGAAAAGCTTCTTTTTTGGCTATTCGTTCAAATCCCTAATTGTGTTCGTGACACAAACCATGATGGAGCGCATTCCCTTGATGGGAAATGGCACTCCTCCAGGTCATCTCCTGCGCGAACGTGCTTCGTCGCAATTTTGGGTTCTTGGCCCAGGTATTGTCTAGATCGTCTTTTTTTCCCTCGAAGGTCGTCTCATATCCCATTTCCCCGTAAACCCCCAATCCCAAGTGTAAAAAACGACAAGATATGGTATCTCCAAGCGAATGTCGAAGGAAACTCGCACCCCAGAAAAACGTTTCCCCCGATGTGCTTCCGCACACGTAAAATATGCATTAGAATCGAAATATCCTGCTTTCCTCGGGAAAGAAAAACTCCAACCTCCCAGGTCTTGTGTCCTCTGCGCCTGATATGCTTCCCTGGCTTGTTCCGTGAATTGAGAGGCGGTCGTCACTCTCGTCTTTCCATATCCCAACTCCACGCTTTGACAAAAAGAAAATAAAATAAAACAGAACACCGTCTCCAAGATGTGTACAGCTGCCGTGGGCAGTAGAGCCAAAGTCCCGGACTTCTTTTTCGTTGGGCTTTTCGAATGAAAAGAAATGTACTCCGGGTCTTTTGATCCAATTGGCATAATGGTCCATGTGTCTCGTAACGGAATTAAAAGTCCATGGATGTAACGTTGTCGGGTTAGGTTGTGTGATTCGAGACCCAGCCGGCATGGCATGGGTCGATCCAGTATCCTTATGTCGACGGCTGTGCTCACAGGCGGCTGCCTGGCAAAACGTATAATGTGGCTACCTTAGTAGCATCCTTGCATGTGCGCAAAGACAGGAACCTGATGATGGAAAGGAACGTGCGGGTGGATAGCAGGAGCATGCTGCGCATACTTGACCACATCTCCCCACCAGAAAGGCACGAAAGACTTGGGCGGGCAACTGGGTGCGTGCATCTGAACCGGAGGCATGGGTGCAGGAGCAGATACCTGTGCAGCGGCCACTGGCGTTGGCACAGGTCCTGTGTACTGCTGCTGCGGAACAAACTCCTGGGCTGGGAAAAACATGGTCCTTGAGTCCTCTGGTTCGTATGTCTGGGTTTGGCAAGTCTCCTGCTGCTGTTCCTGGAGGAACTCCTCGTCAAGGTCGTCAATGGTGGAGCCGCTCGATGTGAGCGAGCCGTCGTCGGATGAGCATTCAGAGCCTTCGTCCGAGGACGAAGACGCGGGGGAGAGGGCGTTGTCGTAGTCGTCGACGATGGTGTCCTCGTGGATAACGTATTCGATGCTGTGCTCCGGCGAAACCGGGGGTGTGGGAAGCACGGCGGGGATGGCGGGAATCGTGAATCTCGGGCAAGCTTGGATCCTGTTCCTCAACTCGGGCAAAGTAATCCTCTGATCCGGGTTGCGGGTGAAGATCCTTCCCAAGATGTCGTTCAGTTCATCCGACACTGGGAGAATGCTCTTGAGGGTCTCCGGGCATCGGGTGTAAGCCCGGTAGGTAGAGTCCTCGAAGGAAGCTTGCTTCCATGGGTTGCGTCCACAGGTGAGGTTGACGAGGATGACTCCGAGACTCCAGACATCATTAGGAGCGCAGAGGTAGAATGGTCTCCGGGCAGAGTGATCCAGGCATTCTGAAGAAAGAAAAAGAAAAAAGTCAGTTGTGTTCGAAGAAGAGAATAGGAAACCTCCCGGATTGAAAGACCTACCTGGGCTCATGTAAAATGTCGATCCGCATCCGTAGTCCTCGGAGCGGTCCGATGATGTGGCGAGGCCAAAGTCGGCAAGCTTGACGGTCTCTCCATGGTCTGAAACAAGGATGTTCTCCGGCTTCAAGTCCCTGTGGTAGATTCCAAGAGAATGGCAGTGCTCAACGGCGTCCAGGACTTGAAGGAAAACACTCTTGGCAAGGTTGTCGTTTCCGACATACTGACCACGTTCGGTGATGTTGAAGAACAAGTCACCTTCCGGGCAATGCTCCAAGATGACATAGATGCAATCAGGGTCGTCCACGATCTTGAACATCGAGACCACGTTCGGGTGGGCCGACGCCAGGTAGTGGAGACGGATCTCGCGGTTCTGGAAGGCAACCTGTCGGCGGTCCAATGGAGTTCCATCCGGGTTGAACTTGCTGAGGCACTTGACGGCATATCGGACTCCGGTCTTCACATCCACGGCAGAGTAGACGACGCCATAGGCGCCGGTTCCAAGAATGGTCGTCAACTGCAACTTGCCCTCCAGAAATCTTCCCAGTCTCTGCTCCGGCGTTAACGGGATGTATCGTGCTTGGCAGTGAGGTGCGGTGGTGATGGGTTGTTGAATCGCGCACTTGTTGTCATACACCGGCGACGCGGGCGGAGTGGGATATCCAAATTCTGATACATGCTGCATGTTAAGTGATTTGCGGGTCCGGTTGGGGGAATCCTTTTCTCTGGCGGTCTGGGCTGGGAATCTCGGGCGAGTTCCAAACAGATAGAGAGAAAGAAAAGGAAAAGTAGAAACGGCCTTGTCCTGTGGAATAGAAAGTCCTTGGGAGTCCAAAAGAAAAAATCCTGGAAATGTCCTGTGGCTCCGTGGTTCAAATATCCTTTGGTCTAAGATGAAGTCGAGAAAAGGTGCAAGACGTCGAGTCAAACACACGATGCTGGGTCGCCGAGAGGGTTGGGTGAGGTGAGTTCGGTGAGAGAGAAAGAGTCGTTCGTTGAGGTCGAAGACGGAAGGGTGACTGAAGGTTCAGTGCTCCCGAGGTGTCGTGATGTAAAGAGGTTCGGCGGGAAGGAACGTGGTGAAGAGTTGATGGTTGAGATCGAACATCTGTACTGCCAGCTGCACGGTGGTGGGATATGGATGGTTGATAATGACTGCCACCACAGAGATGGAGGAACGAGGCGAAATGATGTTAGCGCTCCGTCTACGTACCCCGGTCGAGTGTGTGTTGCGTGGAGCATCCACCACGGCCGGTGGCTTCAAGGGACCCCCAGTCGTGGTCGACATTAACTGAGCAGGGATGGCTAGCTTGCCATGTCTTAGGCGTGGGTCCACTAATGCACCATCTATTCTTGAGTTCGACGTGAGCAGCGGGCCAGTGGGTTAGTTAGAGTTGTTGGAGTGAGGCCCGAGAGTCGTCGAGTTGGGAGGGCGTGCGGGAGTTGGGTGTGGACGGATGAGGGCGTGAGCGAGTGACCAGCAGAGTTTCTTCGCTGGGGCGTCGCTGAGGGCGGCACAAGGATGGCTGATTGGCGATACTGCGCAATATACGAGCAGGTATTGTCTGACGCACCAGGTAAAGTGGCCCCGTCCTAAGGGGGTGGGAGGCTTGTGTGTGCGTGTGTGTGTGTGTGTGGGCGTGTGGTGTCACTCTCACTTTCGCTCGCTCTGTTGTGATGACTCTCAGTCTCTCCCATAGGCTTGTCGATAGTCACCCCCAGCCGTGCTCCATCGACCCCTGCCATAGCTACTGGCTGAGTGTGTCAGACGAAACGGATGAGCGATGGGTGTCCAAGAAACGGGGCGTGCGTGAGTCGACGCCTCTCACCCACGCATGGGACGACCCTGACGGAGGGAAGAGAGGGACACACGGACTGTCTCCTGCTCTGTAATCTGTCCATCCCACGGTGAGGTGAGCGTCGCCCAGTGCTCATGCTGGTCTCTGCTTTGCACATTTGATCTTCTCTTCTGGCGGGCGGTCGGTGTCGAGCACGGCGTCATAGGTGCCATCGCGGGGCGGTAGGTAAGCCCTGTGACTGAGGATGTGCAGCTTTTGCTTCCTTTTCCTTTCGCCATATCGGCCTTCCACCGTCCACCGCAGGGCGAAAAAATGCCTGCCTGTTTCTCACGTTGCCCGGGACCCAAAGCCTCACGCTAGCAAGCGACCGCTTCAAGAATGTTTGAATCAGGCATGGAAGCGCAGTCGAATGATGATCGAATGAGACACGAATTTCGTCTACTGGATCCAGCGAGACTTGTGGATGTGCTATGGCTTGCTTGCTGTTAACCGGCACTTGTGCCCAGCAGAGGAGCCATCGTCTATGCCTGCGGGTAGCATTCGTACCCTCACTATGGCGGACTTGATTGCGGGTAGCTTCTGTGACTACCGCCAAACGCAACTGTGAGCGGCGGCGACTTGGGATGCTAGGAGAGAGCAGCAGGCTCGGATGGGCTGATTGGCTCACTGCCGTGGTCTTGTCGCCCTGCTGAAGCCTTTGTGGCGCTTGGCAGGCTGTTTGCATAAAGTCCGGGTGTCGATGAGTGTGGGCTTCGGTGGCCGGCAGCCTTTCTGTTGCAGAAGCTGCCTCGTAGGCTGGTGACGGATCAATGCTGGTCCCAGGTTCCATCGAGTTTGGCTTTGCTCATTTGGTGCCCATCGCTTCCTGTTCAGGTTTCTCGGTGGCATTGATTGGCCTGGCGGTTCGCCGGGGTTGGTGGCGCTCTTCGCCTGATGATTCGTCGGACGAGCGACGCGCAACGAATCAAACACTTGGATGCTTGCGTCGAGAGGCTGGTGTAGTGAACGAATACGTGGTGATGACTATTCATTAGCAACGAGCCAATCAGTCCTGTTTGCGGACTTGTGCGGTAGTTGCTAGTTGACGGCAGAACTGGACTCTTGAAGTTGAAAGCCGTGAGTGGCCACAAGACAGATGCGATGTCACGCTATGAGCCGCTATCCAACGAGCAGTCGATAGCCGCTAATCGAGCTGCGTGGATGAGTCCCGAGTGTGTTGTCCAGCACGCAGGCACGCAGGCAGGCTCCAGCAGCACCATCGTCCTTGGGCTTCTAGCGGCTGGAGCAAACAGGCGGCGAGGGACGCTGTGCCACAGATTTTGGCCCGCCGTGGGCCGCAGTGGCCGGTCAGGCCGGGACTGTCTCATCAGACTTCAGTACGAGCGCGGCAAAAGTTGGACGGCCGTGGGTCAAGTGTTGCGGGCTGCAGGCACCGGAGACAGCGCTCGGAAGAGTCAAAAGGACACAGTTGCTATTGCGATGCCACAGAGCCACCTGACTGTTGATTGACGGTGACAGTGACAGCCCGACCGGAGGGGGCAATTCCCACTCTCGGGCTCTCAGAATGTTCTTCTAATCCACTATTCAGTGTCCAAGAGAGAATCTCTCTCGGCCTTGGTTGGGATGTTGCTCCGGGAGGGCCAGAGGCTGGATTCGGTGCAAGTGGAGCCGTACGGGCTCTCGAAAGAAATCGGTTTGCCTTCTGAACGGGATTCGATGCCGGCCAGTGACGGCGGCCAACGTGGTCATGGGTCACACATGGGCCTGGGAGATTAGGAACGACCGTTTGAATGGGCGAGCCAGGGGCGAGTTCCATGGCAAAAGAGTGGACTTGGTAGCCGGAGATGAAAGATGACTGGAGGAGAGCAGCAGGCCGGGGGAGGGCGCCGCAACGCTGCGTTGGATGCGCGTGGTGCATGCGTCCTGCAGAAAGGCTGCACGTCTGTGTGGCTCGGAGCGGTAAACGGGCAGAACGAGGAGGGTCTGGCCAGAGTGTTATTCGCTGGCAGGGCGAGAGACGGGCATGTAGAGATGCCTGAGGCGATTCGCGTGTGTCATTCTGCTGCAGCGGCGCAGGTCGAGGCAGTCGATAGAAGCAGTTGGTGTGTGCACTTTTTGTTGTTGCTGGTGCTGGTGCTGTGCCAGATGCTTGGCCCGTCGTGGTGAGCGACATGCAGACGCAGACGTACACTAGAGTGCAGAGCAGACGCAGGCGAGCAGGACAAGAACAGCCTCGTAACGACGGGCGGTGGGTTGCGCAGGTGGCAGGGATCCCTGGTCGCATGTTCCCGACGAGTGAGGCTGTCGACGACGGAGCCATGATGGATCATGATGTGGAGGGCCCATATGATGGTCTGCAGAGGGCTGATCTCGCCGGTCCAATGGGCAATTTCGGACGTCCAGTTGTAGCATAGCGCCCGTGGTTCACGATGCAGTGTAGCATCAACGTTCCCGCCGGCGCTGGCTTGGTATGTTGATGCTCAGCGAGGTATCTTCTTTCGAGCAGCGCTCCGCTGGCGGCTGCACCAGCTGCACCAGTCTCGACTCCTGAGTTCCGAGTCCTGAGTCCTGAGTCCTGAGTCCTGAGTCTGACGGGGACTGAAGTGGTGGTGTGGCGCGCCATGATGCCACAGTCGAGATCGAGAGGCGGTGATTGGACAGGAGGGGCAACTCGATAATCTCGGCCTGCGCTGAGAGAGGCTTCGATGGAGTTCTTCGCTCTGCGATGGATGGGACGAGAGGTCATGACAAGGCAGTCCAGGCCTGGCCATGAGCACACATCGCAATGTGCACGAGAGGAGACGAGCGATGATCGATCTAACCCTGGCAGCAAGTCGGATTGCTCGGGTACGAATATTCGCACGCAGTCGTAGATAGTCTTGAGTGTCCATGCGATAGTGTCCGTCGTCTGCGTCGACTCTCTCGAGACATTGTTCCCGGGTGTTTATTTTTTTCGCATGTTTGATGATGCGCCGCGGAAGTCGGGAGCGCAAAACAAACACGACCAAGTCCCGGCTGCGCTCGCCATGTTCAGGCCAGAGAAAGGCATTTGCAAAGTGGCTCTGTGTGTGGACGCGGTCAAAACGCGAGACATTATGTTTCTGTTGTCGTAGTACGCTGTAGTTGTCGATGACTGACGAATGTTTCCGTGATGCTTCAGTGCACGCGGCAAAGCGAACTGGCAGCGGCAAGCTGGCAGGAAGAAACGACACCCGACTGGACAGGCAGGAAGGAAGGAGTTGACAGAGGCCGTGCCCGTGCCCGTTGCTTCCTTCCCACCCAAGTTCCTTCCTTCCTTCCTTCCCGCCCGTCGCCCATTTCTCAACGACCAACCAACCAATATGGAAGTTACGAGCCAATCACGAGCATTTGTGCCACACCAAAAAGCAACAAACGGGCAGGAGCATTGGGGGCAGGAACGCAGGCAGGAAGCGCAGTTTCCAAGAAGGCGCAGGCAGGACAGCCAGTGAGGCAGGTGCGAGGCGGGTGTGAGGCAGGAGCAAGGCAGGCGCATGGGCAGTAGGTGCCACCTGCCAGGCCAAATGAGGCGAGTGATCTGGAAGAAGAAAGTGCAGGTGGGTCATAGGTGGCTGTATTTTCCGTTGCACTTCCATTGCTTCCAGGTCCAGTTGCACTTGCAGTTCAACTTGCATTCCTCCCTTCCTTCCCTTCAAGTTCATCCATGATTCCTGCCTTCCTCTTTCCTGCCTTCTATTAATTTGTTGTCGCAACTTCCTTTCGTGATTGAGTCTGACTAACACGGCGGCTGCCTGAGATCTCTGATTCTGCCGGTGTAAAATGCCTCAGGCTAAAACACAAACAAGACCCCCGAAGAAGCGGTCTGCAGGAACTGCATCGATCACGGGCGACGCTTACCGTCCCAGGC